TCAAGAAAGTTTAATGGAGATCACTCCCGCTTTATTTAATGAATAGAATTGAGTAGGAAAAGAAAAGAAGTGTGCAACAAATGAAAGTAAACACTGAGTGTATAATAGAGCGGAAAGTGTTTGCTTTATGCAGGAAACATTGATTAACCTAAGTGAAAAGTTGTGAAGAAATTGGTCCGGTTCACTACAATTTTTTTTTCTTCCAGAAATCAAAAACAGCATAAAGGAATACTCTCATTCACCGAAAATCTCTCAAAATTTGATAGAATCAAGGGAATAAGAAATTGTTCAAAAGTTGATTCAAAACTACAAATGACAAGTAACTCAAACAGTACTCAAGTTATCGTGTCCCAGAAAGACAGACAGACACACACACACACAGCAGGCTGAAGTCGGAGTCAATGGCCTCAATGGCGCATAACCAGTTGACACGTAACGCTTAATTGTGTTGGAGGCGTGGTCGAGTCGGCAAAAAGCTCATGGTTGAAAAATTCGAACAAAGTCTCGAGTTCAAACCCTCTGGCAGACAAATCTCGATCCCCTTCAACACTAATAATTAAGAACGAAGAAGAAGAAGAAGAAGAAGAAGAAACACACACACACATACACACACACACACAAAATCGCAAAACTACGTTTTTCCGACTTGTAAAATTGTGTACAATTGCACTATTGCAATACTTCCTCTAAACTTCATATAGGAGAAAGTAAAAATGACATGTATGTAAGATGTAAAATGTAATTTCTTCAAGCTAGAGAGCTTTGGTCAGTGTCAATTATCTGCGAGACTACCGAAATATGTTTTGGCTTCAAGTTTTACTTTCTCGTACACAGAGTACAGAGGAAGTAGTGTTATCGTGATGAAGAATTAAGTTTTCTTTTTAAGTTTTCACCGATTTACACCCGCTACTATATCGGATACAGAATATAAAGGATGTACTGTAATCGTACAGAAATCTGATTGAGATTTTGACAAATTTTAGCAATGGTTTTAAATTTTAATTTGTGATCAAAATATGATTATGGACCAATTATTTCAACTGTGACTTTTAGCCCCGCCTTGACCTTACTCTATATTTCGATTGTAGGAAAAAAAGTCACAGGAAAAAAAGTCACAGGAAAAAAAGTCACAGGAAAAAAGTCACAGGAAAAAAAGGCACAGGAAAAAAAGTCACAGGAAAAAAGTCACAGGAAAAAAAACACAGGAAAAAAAGTCACAGGAAAAAAAGTCACAGGAAAAAAAGTCACAGGAAAAAAAAAACACAGGAAAAAAAACACAGGAAAAAAAAACAGAAAAAAAGTCACAGGAAAAAAAGTCACAGGAAAAAAGTCACAAATATATATTTGCATGATATTTGTTAGTACTTTTATGTATTAAGGGGATAGGCTCCCGAAAAAACGGGTAAAAAAACTTTTTAATTAATAAGCCTTTTTCATTTATTTGTGTATGTATAAGTTAGGGCACTTAAGGAAAAATATTTGGATGTACCAGGGACTCTTCTGAAAATATGGTTGCCATGGAAACGGCGGCCATCTTGGAAAAAATACCTTTTGCGGAGTTCTAAAATTTCCTAAAGTAACATATAAACCGCCCATATAATCATTGATCTTTATTGTACTAACACTAATAGAGTCAGCAGGCTAATTTTTTTAACCGAAAAACAGCTAGAAATACTTTTTTCAAATTTTCAAAAAAAAATTGTGGTGAAATTCCATTGAATTTAGAGTTTTTTTTATTGGAATTTCGTCACACCAAATTTTGAAAATTAAAAAAAAAATTCTAGAGTGATTTCTGTTAAAAAAACTAGCCAGCTGACTCTGTTAGCGTTAGTACAAGAAGGATCAATGGTTATATAGCCGATATTTATGTTAGTTTATGAAATTTTAGAACTCCAGAAAAGCATGTTTTTTCTCAAGATGGCAGCCGTTGCCATGGCAACCATATTTTCAAAAGAGCGCCTGATGCATGGAAATATTTTCTTTCAAGTACCCTAACTTAGATATACACAAATAAATCAATAAAAGGTTTTAATTAAGAAGTTGGTTTTTTCTGGAGCCTACCCTATAGAGAGTGCAAATTAACTTAGGATTAATTAAATGTAATGTAATGTGTGTAGGTTGTATACGCATAATAATTTTTTTATAAATCATCCAAAAATATTTAGTATGAAGTATGTAGATTATAATTATGTGTTTTTTTTTCCTGTGACTTTTTTTCCGTTCACCTATATTTCTGGGGACACGATAACATTAGAACTGTTTGTTTGGTGGGCGAAAGTTCATTTATATGATCTTATACTTGGTTTACTTTCAAATTTTGATTTACCTCCGAAATCCGGAAGTGGTACTCTATTCTATTTCTGGTTTCTAAATTACCAACAATATAAGTAATATAAGTACCGTTTTAGTTAGGTTAACGAAATTTTAGACATATAATATTGATTTACGGTAACCGGAAATATTACTTTCCAGCATTTCTAATTACTCAAAAAAGATCACTTCACTGGATCGATTTGTTTCAAGCTTTTCAAGTAGGTGAAGACTCGATGACAATGCACTGTGACATAAAATGTGAATTAATTAGATGTTTAAATGACGTTTTAAAAAATGAATCAATGTTTCCTTAAAACGTAGCCTACCAAGTTTCCACGCTATTATACGCAAAACATTTTCGCTCAACTGATGCGCAATTATGTTGTTAAGTATTTAAAAAACGAATTAAAAAATAATTTTTTATAGACTGTTTGATCCCCCTACTTTAAAGTGTGTTACAATATATCTCATATAAAGATCAAAGAGGACGTTGCTTATAGGCCTAATCCGAAGAAAAAAAACCGAAATCGAGATTTTGACAAATCTAGAATTTGTACACCTCACTAAGTCAGAAAAACTTAATTCTGCAATCTTGTCTGTCTTCCGGTAACCGGAAGTGGTACTTTACTTTTAATTTCTCTCAAGCCGATAACATGGGTACCATTTAAGTTAGGCGGATGAAATTTCACATGTGAATTTAGCTCTGTACTAATCTGAACTACGTGAATTTAGCTCTGTTTGTGTGAATCTGAACGCCGTGAATTAAGCTCTGTTTGTGTGAAGCTGAACTATGTGAATTAAGCTCTGTTTGTGTGAAGCTGAACTACGTGAATTAAGCTCTGGGATACATCTTTCCTTTGTGCCCTAACCCTAACCCAAGGGGAGAGCATCGAAAGAGGTCACCCAGTGCCGTCCCCTGGTGTTAGTTAATGCTTGCTGATGTCTACTTTAAGAGGGGAGAAAGAGGAAGCCGGATCCGGCTCGCTGGGGATCTCCAGGGACCCACGGACCTGGCCGGATTTTCGGGTTTCGGTAGGTTGAGAGGGGCCGCTACTCTCGTCTGTCGTCTGCTGATGGGAGAGTTGTCTGCCCGCGCCCAAATCCCTCCACGCGAACCAATTACTGCCCATTTACTGTATCGAGTTGCTCATATTGATCACTCGGAATTCTTCTCTTCCATACCCGAGGGAGATGTCCTCCCCTCTCTGGCCGGCTCCCCTCCTCCCCTCTCTGGCCGGCTCCCCTCCTCCCCGGGTAGCAGCCACGCCCATGTGGAGAGCGCGACAGGACGGACACGCCAACGACCAATCAAATCATCCCTGTGTACCGTCCCCAGATCGATACGAGCCCGATGCGTGCCCTGCCTTCTGATTGGCTCCTGCTCTCAAGAAGCGACACGAACTCCCGCCTTATATTGCGGGGCTGGGCCCGAGCAAAAGACTCGACAATCTTATTAGTGACTTTAATTTCGCGCGGTCGCTCCATCTACACACACATGACGTCACCGTTATCCGACACAGTCGCAGATTTCTTGGCGCGAAACTCGTCAAACGTGTGTGCTGGACAGCAACCGATCAGTTAATGCACAAGTTGAGTTGATATTATCTGTTTATCAACGGCCTGTCGTTCTGGCATCGTCCTGACGGTGCCACGTCTGCTACTGGCGTCTGCTGGTCAGCTGTCAACATTCACCAGAGAATTTATATTACAATTTGCGGAGTTAAAAAAAAATAAACATCAGGCACAAAAATAATCTAAATACGGTCTAATTGTTTCGCCGGAAAAATTGTAAATTTATGTATGAAAATTAAAGTTTTGTAAAAGCCCGTGGAGAAACTCTGAACGATTGGATAATTCGGCATATTCTGAGATTTCGACAGGATTTTGTTCGTTCTTGGGATCATTGTTCTATTCGTGTAGCCAAGTTTTTAAAGTTTCTTGAATTTGTTCCAAGTTTGACCTGAGAAGTTTGCACGATTTGTTCTAGTCCTGTCCCAACAGTTAGAACAAATTATTCCTTCTTGTGAGACCGTATATCAAAACTCAATACTCCGACATAATCCCAAAGGCCTCCCGACATCATTGCCTACAGATAAAAGTAGCCCCCCTGCCCCCGTGAGTGCCTCAACCAGTTTCCGTGGGTAGCCCCTGCCCGTGAGCGCCCCACCAATTCCCGTGAGCGCCCCACCAATTCCCGTGAGCGCCCCACCAATTCCCGTGAGCGCCCCACCAATTCCCGTGAGCGCCCCACCAATTCCCGTGAGCGCCCCACCAATTCCCGTGAGCGCCCCACCAATTCCCGTGAGCGCCCCACCAATTCCCGTGAGCGCCCCACCAGTTCCCGTTAGCGCCCCACCAGTTCCCGTGTGTAGCCCCACCAGTTCCCGTTAGCGCCCCAACCAGTTCCCGTTAGCGCCCCAACCAGTTCCCGTGAGCGCCCCACCAATTCCCGTGGGTAGCCCCCCCCCAGTTCCCGTTAGCGCCCCACCAGTTCCCGTTAGCGCCCCACCAGTTCCCGTGAGCGCCCCACAGTTCCCGTGAGCGCCCCACCAGTTCCAGTGAGCGCCCCACCAGTTCCCGTGAGCGCCCCACAGTTCCCGTGTGTAGCCCCACCAGTTCCCGTGAGCGCCCCACAGTTCCCGTGTGTAGCCCCACCCCCACCAGACAAAATTCTGTTCCCGAGCCTGATGGAGGAGCAGCGGGTGCCGGGGGACGAGCGGGACAAACGGAAATGTGACGACTTCACCAGCCTGTACGGCCTGGACACGGGTCACGTCACGTCACAGAGGGGGCTGGCTGACCACTCAGGTGAGTTGTGTTTACATCTGGTCTAGGGGACAGGTCAGCAACTGTTAGACTTGTAGGGGACAGGTCAGCAACGTTAGATTTGTTGGTGAGAACTAGCTAAAGGGTGAGACTTTGGGTGCTAGCTAAATGGTGAGACCTCCGATGTAGGTCTACAACCTGTGTAATAAACCGGGAATGATCTCCCCTAAACTTTCTCGAATATTCTTATATAAAACAACAGGGGATGGCAACTCGGGATATAAACATGATTTCTAATCCATTTTTAATTAAACTTTTTAAATAGAATAAAGTCTCGTAGAAAAAAGAATTGCACACCAAGTGAACGCCAAATAAAATGTGCATAATAGTGCGGAATATTATTAGTACTTTATAAATTCACATGCGTTCTTTGAGAAATCGGTAATAGCGAAAATTACTACTTCCGGTCAACGAAAATTACTCAAAATTTAACAGAAGGCAGAGAATTAGATCTTTTACGGACATGTGAAATTTCATTTATCTATCTGAAATAGTACTCAAGTTATAGGCTTTTAAAAAATTGAAAGTAGAAAAAATTCAACTTCCGGTTATCGGAAATCGCTCAATGGAAATCGGATCTACGATTTTGATATAATACTTATATATGAAATTTCATCAACCTAGCTGTAGCGGTACTCAAGTTATCGTGTTTACACACACACAGACACAAACACACATATACACACACAGACATACGGACTATGTTTTTCCGACTCAGGGACGTGTAAAACGTCGTGATTTACAAAAATCTCGATTTTTTTTTTTTGCACGAGTACAATACTTTCTTTATACTTTGTTTACGAGAAAGTAAAAATGTATAAAACCAAATGCCGAGTGTCAAACAACCTAATGGCTGACTATTCCGACCTCTACTCACATTCAACGTGTTTAATATGTTATATATTTTAAAAGGAGGTTTATTGCCAACTGATGGGGTATGGGTAAGGTCGGTCAAATAACTGGCGATCTGATCAAAGATATCATCAAAGATATTATCAAATATGTAATCAAATATATAATCAAATATGTAATCAAAGATATCTTCAAATATGTAATCAAAGATATCATCAAATATGTAATCAAAGATATAATCAAATATGTAATCAAAGATATAATCAAATATGAAAAGAAAGATATCATCAAATATGTAATCAAATATATCATCAAATATGTAATCAAAGATATAATCAAATATATTTATATTATAACACATAATTAAATGAACTTTTTGTTATCCTGAAGTGAAAAGATATATATGAAATAATTAAATTATCGAACAATAAAACGATTTTAGAAATAAAATTGAAATGCATTTTTGAAAATAATACGCGATTGCTACAAAGTGATATGAATTTGCAAGTGAGATTTAAGAATTAATTAGACAACTAATGACAGTGTGAAAACTAAATAAGGCAGAACAACTCCCATTTCGACATAATTTTTTTCATGTCATGAACATCGAGTACCAACAAAAATTACCTTGTATTAATTTGTCAACAGTCCACGACACTGTTATAAGCAGACGTCCCACACAATAGAAACACGCAGAGAAATACTGTTTAAATAATATTTAAGATATTTATGTCAAATTTAAATTGAATGTAATTTCTGAGATTTTTTTTCATCAACTGTTGACAATACAACACTTCACCTTTTGAGAAATTCCAGAATCAATGGACTATATTTTTAAAATATATAACAATTATTTATAATGGCATTGGAAAAAAAAAATATAGCGCAGCACTAAGTTTAAACTTAGCGTTTGTTGACAAATATTTTGTAACCATTCCGGTTATGCTTAGCGGTTTTATTATGTGACGATGTACTTTTTTATAGCTCAAATCGATAAGAAAAGCTATTACTACTATTATGTAAATCGTGAAGAAATTTTTAGAGATATTTCAATAATTATTATGCAATAATGTAAAGGATATATAAAGTTAATTGAAATTATTTAACAATATAACGATTTTAAAATAACGATGATTTAAACATTACCATGTAATCACCGTGTAATAATTTACCCTTTATATTTTAGATAGATTAGACAAAATACTATATAACAAATCAAACATATTTTTAAAAATCGCATTATAATGTAAAGGTTTGACTGTTAGGTCGACATCAAATTAAATTATTTTATAATTAACAAATCTATTTATAGTTGCATTAAACACACGAGAATACAGAAAAAGCAACTAGTCTATTGAACGGGGACATTAAACTTGAATATAAACAAGGAATGAACTAAATTTACTGACAGCAGTTAGTGCATGAAATATGTTGCGGTGTAACCGTTACAAGAAATATTAAGAACAGTGTTTTCAAAATTAGTTTGGTTTTACTATTGGTAGGATAATGGTAGAATAATGGTAGGATAATGGTGGGATAATGGTAGGATAAAATTGGGTTTAGTTTATCGGACAAAAAAATGGTAGGATAATGCTAGGGTAACGGTAGGATAATGGTGGGATAAAATTGGGTTTAGTTTATCGGACAGAGCTAAAACATGAGTTATAGGTTTAATAATAGATATATTTTAAAGAAAAAAAAACTATAAAAACAATACTGAAAATGTGTTTATTAAGTAGCTACATGTTTTAATTTTTTTACGGAACTATCAAACCTCTAAAACTTGCTAACGTGGATTGAGAAAAGCTTGGTGGTGTGTTGTTGACGAAGAAAACGGCCATTTTCTTCGACCGAGCCTATAGAGATTTTATAATTTTATAATTTTTTTTTTACATTTTAAACGTGTATTCTTGTATGCAATTTTTTTAAAAACTGTCCCACTAAAGGCTATTCAGTTCTGCAAGTTTTACAGTTATATGTAAAGAAATACTTGAAATGGCCCAAAAAGACCCGGGAGTTGAATGGGGAGGGTGTCTAATCATCTGATAGTTTTTTTCAATCGATAAATGAAATAAATTCTGTAATACCTACAGCTGTACACAGTACACAGAATTAGAGGGCACAAAATGTACTTTTTAATTCGAAGCCAGCTTATTACGCCCCGAGATCTTTTTATCATAGAAAGCATGATGTGAAAAGCTGCTACATTTGGGCGACGCGGGCGAAAAACCGAGTTTTGTTCGCCGCTATAAAATAATGTTATAAATTTTGATAGTTTATAGCATTAAAATATTTTTTAATGCTCTTATCAATAGAAATAAAATTGCATAAAAACGGTTTCATAACAAGCTTTTATGTAATAATGCACTAAAAAGGAGAAAATAAATGATTTTCTTTAAATATATAATAATATACTACTATTTAAATAACTATAAAAAAAAGCGTGGGTCACTATATTATCTATTGGATACCTTTACTGATATTTAAAAAGAGATACACGCTTTTATGTATAGTTATATAAATAGCTTTAAAGAAAATAATTTATTTTCTTCTTTTTATTGCATCCTAATATACAAAAACCCATGTGTGCACTTCTCTCTCTCTCTCTCTCTCTCTCTCTGTCGGCAACATATTTTCACAGGCTATGACATCAGTGTGTTCAGCGATATATGGAGAACTTAGTGATCCGGACACTTCTTGAAAATAATATGTTGGATATATTAAATGTATAAACTAAATTTTTATTTAAAGAGCGAGAATAAAAAATAGGCATATTCGAAAGTAGAAACACATTTTTAATTATGCAACCGGAGAAGTGTTTATGGTTGTGATAAGTTCGATTTGGGGAAGATACCAGTAACACAAAAACAACAGCAAGTACACAACACTAATGGCGTCATTGATTGTGGGACAAAAACAGAATTTAACATCGATTGTCGTAAATGGTACACAATACTAATTACGTCATCTTCAATAAGATTCGCTTCCCACATCTTCCAATTTTAGAACATGAAGAATTACATTCAAATTTGATATAGATTTTATACATGTACTTATCAAGACGTTCGCTATGAAATATATACAATTTTCTAGGCCAAAACTAAAACAAATTACTTTAAAAAACAACATAACGGACTTATTTAAGTCTCTTAATCAGTGTGTAGATTTTATTGTGGTGTTGTGTTCTTCTTTCTTCTTCGTTTTTACTTTCTCGTATGTACGATGTAGGCCTATAGAGAAAGTCTTGTAATTGTGCAAAAAAAAAAATTCGATATTTTTGCAAATCTCGACCTCGACGTTTTACACCGCCCTGAGTCGGAAAAAACATAATTTTGCTATCTTGTCCGTGTGTCTATGTGTGTGTATGTGTGTGTGTATGTGTGTCTGTAAACACGATAACTTGAGTACCGTTAAAGCTAGGTTGATGAAATTTCATATATAAGTATTTTATCAAAATCGTAGATCCGTATCACCTTTTAAGCGATTTCCGATAACCGGAAGTGGTACTTTTTCTACTTTCAATTTTTCAAAAGCCTATAACTTGAGTACTATTTCAGATAGATAAATGAAATTACACATGTAAGTAAAAGATCTAATTCTCTACCTTCTGTCAAATTTTGAGTAATTTTCGTTGACCGGAAGTAGTAATTTACGCTATTTTCTGCTTCTCCAAAAAGTAATGTAAATTTATAAAATACTAATAATATTGCGCACTATTATGCACATTTTATTTGGCGTTCACTTGGTGTTCAATTCTTTATTCTACGAGATTTTATTCTTTTTTAAAAACTTTAGGTATTTAAAATCGATTAAAAACATGTCTATAGCCAGAGTTCCTATCCCCTGTTGTTTTATATAAGAATACAAGCACAGCCCGCTTATATTATAGATTCGAGAAAGTTTAGGGGAGATCACTCCCGGTTTATTAACTTTAGTGTTGGAAGGGATTTCCTCCAACACAATTAAGTATTACGTGTCAACTGGTTATGTGCCATTGAGGCCATTGACTCCGATTTCAGCCTGCTTTTCTTTTTGGATTTGCTTTCATAGCCATTGTCCAACCAAGAACAAACTGCAAGGCAGCAGTTGTTTGATTTCGGAGTTGTCTCTCCTAGAGGAGTGGCTGTCCCTAGCTAATGAGCCTAATCTGCTCGAGGGTTTGAACTCGAGACTTTTACCAACTCGACCATGCCGACCCCGTTGTGTTGACTAATAATGTATATCATTTGGTTTTTCTAATACGTATTGGTAGTCTATGTTATTTTAAATGTGTCGGATTTTTAGCTATTTAGTTATTTCTTTGCTTTGTCACTAATATCGTTCAACTTGTAGTAAAGCACATTGCGTTTTGACCAAGAACTACTTGATAAATTATTTTTTTCTCAAACACGTAAAAGATTAACAATATATAGGCCTATAACTCACGTGTAACGGGTACCGATGGCTAGTTATTACAAGAAAACTTGTTATAACGTTTTTTTCATGCAATTTGTTTTAAGTACTTTAAATTTTTTTTATCTACAACACAGTTGCCCGACTAGAAACAATTGCGTACCAAATGACATTATAACGTGCGTATTATAGTTCGGAAAGAGTAGTATGACAGCCTTCTAATTTCAGAACAAATTAATCAATTGATAAACTATTAATTAGGCATCCAATTATTTCAAATTTAATGTCATACTGCAATGTCTTCAATTCTTGACCCAAGCCTCGAATTTCCGAGAAATTGGTCGGTTAGAAGTGCTTAAAATTTAGCTCGCCCGCTTTGATCAATGACGACAGACAAAAGCACGACGAACAGAGGAAGCAAGTTAAAAGCTTGTAATAAAAATAAACACATACACAAATAGCATACACATACATCACACATTTTTCTACCAGATTATTTGAGCAAGTGACGCGCTATCTAACAGCACGCGAGAAAACATTTCCTAACACAATTTTCGTGTGTTCTGCTGTTGATACAACATTTGTTAGGTTACAACATTTGTTAGGTTACAACTTTTGTTTGGTTAACTTGTCTCTGTCGTCTTAACTTGTGTTGGTACTAGACTTTTTACAAGTTTTTAATTAGGTCACACTGTTTGTCGGTCTGTCACTGAGTCTGTCTGTACGTCTGAGGCAAGTCTTGTAACTCAACTCTAACGCAGTGACTACCAGAACAATTTGTTTTAGATGACAACGGAATTATTTGTAGCTTTTAATCGAATCAGAAATGATACTAGTCATTATAAAATTTTAAAGATGGCTACATTCACTACAAACAAAAGAGCAGATAACCAGCGCGGTGAGTGAGGTGAGTGAGGTGAGTGAGGTGAGTGAGGTGAGTGAGGTGAGTTGTTCTCTCAAGTTTTCACACCTGATGGCCAGCCATAAGCATCAACACGGGCCCACGTAAAGTTTAGTTAAGATCACAAGTCTGGTGGGTGTCGACTAGGCGCAGAACAAACGTCATTAATAAAATAAAGGAGACAATTGTTTTATTAGCTTAAATATCGAATTCGTGTTTTTATTTTGAAACATTCAAAATTAATCAATAATCGGGAGGTAAAAAAAAAACCTCAAAACTAATAATAAGCTTTTTAATGCATGGAAAATAAGAAAATTAAAACAAACTGTGTTAGTTAAAGCTTTGGTCGCTCATGAAATATCTTTAATATTTTAGAGATTAATGCTTTAACCCCCCCCCCCCCATGCACTTCAAATCTAATTAACAAAGTTTTGCTTCTTTGCATGTACATGTTTTCTTTACCCCTCCGACTAACCACTGCGCCCCTATGTTACCCCCTCCCACGACAATTTCATTAGACTAGTTCAATGACAAGAGACACGTTTACCCGTAAGAGGGCGCTTGGTGTTGATGTGTTCTTCTACCGTAAACATTTTAATACTATCCTCCCCCTCCCCATCACCTATACTGATTTTTTTCTGCTGCGATTTAAGACGGAAAATGATGAAAAACAAAGCTAAAATAATAATTGTAAAATGTTTAGGTAATAATGTAATACAAGTTTTTAAAAAATCATAGACCTTCCGTTTTAACCACACATTTAATTATTAATTAAATTAACTTATTTAACTAAGGCTGGGTTGAGGTAAAATTAACAATGCACGTAGTACGTGTGGTAACATATTTTCGGTAAATTAGTTTAGTATTGAAGTTTTGTTAGAATTATACATACATTTTTTAAATGTAATTTGTTCCTCTAATTTTGCAATTATTATATTATTAGTCAATTATAATTATCGTTTTCGAATTATTATTATTGTTATGTTTTTTTGTTATTATTATTGCTCTTTGACCAGCCAACAACTAACCACTAAAGTTTGTAAACAAAGATGGCGGAGTGCGCTCAAAACGCAATAGAAACCTACGTACAGGACCAAATAACTAAATGTGTGGTGTCGTCCACCTAATGGAAATGGTACACAAGTTCTCGTCAACACGGAAGTAGAATAAGTACCAAATCACTCAAAAGTTGAAAGAAACAAGCGAATAATTTCTTACCCTTATGTACGAGATTTCGTCCATCATAACTGAAAGGTACTCAAGTTATTAGTAATTGGAAAATCGGAGATAAAGTAAATTACCATTTCCGGATATCGGAGTTCACTCAAAACTTAAAAGAAAACAAAATCACTTTAAAGTTGACAGAAAGATCTTATACTTAATTACGAAGTTTCGTCTACCTATCCAAAACGATATACAAATTATCTGGGTCTCACTGAGTTCGAGTAACGTACTACTTCCGGTTAACGGAAATCGCTCAAATGCTGTGATAGCAAACTACAGTTTGGATAAAATACTGATATGTGAAATTTCGTCAACCTAACGAAAAACTGTACTTAAAGTTGTCGTGTTCACAAACACACACGCGTGCATGCAGAGACAGAAGACAGAGAATATTGCACAATGTCCATTGCGACTTTTCTCCGTGTTTATATACTCCGTATATAAATAAGCAGGGAGTGATCTCCCTTAAACTTACTCAAATATTCTTATATAACACTTCACTCGTGCGGAATATTATTAGTACTTTATAAATTCACATGCGTTTTTTTGAGAAATCGGAAATAGCGAAACTTACTACTTCCGGTCATACTATGACAGAAGGCAGAGAATTAGATCTTTTACTTACTTGTGAAATTTCATTAATCAACCTGAAACAGTACTCAAGTTATAGGTTTTTGAAAAATTAGGAGTAGATTAAGTTTCACTTTCGGTTACCGGAAAAGTTGATACGGAACTACAAATTCGATATAATTATTATGTATGAAATTTCTTTCCTCAACTCCAGGTCAAGAAGGGGCGTTCAAGAAGATCAAGGCCGAGGGCGCCAGCCCGGTGCTGTCTATGTCGTCAGCTGCCTCGTTAGGGGGCGCTTCCCCGGGCTCCGCCTCAGGTCACACCCCCGGCTCAGGCACGTGTCCGACACCAGCTAGGAGGCGGCACCGGACAACATTTACACAGGTAGGCGGCAGTAGATAGATAGGTAGACAGACAGGTAGATAGACAGGTAGATAGACAGGTAGATAGACACACAGACACGAGTAGTAAGGTCGGGAGGGGCCGCTTTTATTTATTTCCCGGGACGTGGGCCACAGCAAGTCCACCTCTCGTTGTGTATATTGCACGATGTCATTTCATATGACATCCTCGTGTGTTGAAATATCATGACATATGTCACCCTTGTGTTGAAATAAATATCATATCATATGCCACCGCAAGTTGACATCTGATGTCAAATGTCACCCCTGTGTTGACATCTCATGACATATGCCACCCCTGTGTTGAAATAAATATCATGTCATATGCCACCCCTGTGTTGACATCTGATGTCATATGCCACCCCTGTGTTGAAATAAATATCATGTCATATACCACCCTGTGTTGACATCTCATGACATATGCCACCCCTGTATTGACATCTGATGACATATGCCACCCCTGTGTTGACATCTCATGACATATGCCACCCCTGTGTTGACATCTCATGACATATGCCACCCCTGTGTTGACATCTGATGTCATATGTCACCCCTGTATTGACATCTGATGTCATATGCCACCCCTGTGTTGACAGGAACAGCTCCGGGAGCTAGAGGCCGCCTTCGCCAAGTCCCACTACCCCGACATCTACTGCAGGGAGGAGCTGGCCAGGATAACCAAGCTGAATGAGGCCAGGATACAGGTCAGTGGGCTGTCTCGTGGTCAGTGGGCTATCTTGTGGTCAGTGGGCTGTCTCGTCTGTCTTGTGGTCAGTGGGCTGTCTCGTGGTCAGTGGGCTGTCTTGTGGGCTGTCTTGTGGTCAGCGGGCTGTCTTCTGGTCAGTGGGCTGTCTTGTGGTCAGTGGGCTGTCTTGTGGTCAGTGGGCTGTCTTGTGGTCAGTGGGCTATCTTGTGGTCAGTGGGCTGTCTCGTCTGTCTTGTGGTCAGTGGGTTGTCTTGTGGTCAGTGGGCTGTCTCGTGGTCAGTGGGCTGTCTTGTGGGCTGTCTTGTGGTCAGTGGGCTGTCTTCTGGTCAGTGGGCTGTCTTGTGGTCAGTGGGCTGTCTTGTGGTCAGTGGGCTGTCTTGTGGTCAGTGGGCTGTCTTGTGGTCAGTGGGCTATCTTGTGGGCTGTCTTGTGGTCAGTGGGCTGTCTTGTGGTCAGTGGGCTGTGGGCTGTCTTGTGGTCAGTGGGCTGTCTCGTGGTCAGCGGGCTGTCTTGTGGGTTGTCTTGTGGTCAGTGGGCTGTCTTGTGGTCAGTGGGCTGTCTTGTGGTCTGTCTTGTGGTCAGTTGGCTATCTCGTGGGCTGTCTTGTGGTCAGAGGGCTGTCTTGTGGTCAGTGGGCTGTCTTGTGGTCAGTGGGCTGTCTTGTGGTCAGTGGGCTGTCTCGTGGTCAGTGGGCTGTCTTGTGGGTTGTCTTGTGGTCAGTTGGCTATCTCGTGGGCTGTCTTGTGGTCAGAGGGCTGTCTTGTGGTCAGTGGGCTGTCTTGTGGTCAGTGGGCTGTCTTGTGGTCAGTGGGCTGTCTCGTGGTCAGTGGGCTGTCTTGTGGGTTGTCTTGTGGTCAGTGGGCTGTCTTGTGGTCAGTGGGCTGTGGGCTGTCTTGTGGTCAGTGGGCTGTCTTGTGGTCTGTCTTGTGGTCAGTTGGCTATCTCGTGGGCTGTCTTGTGGTCAGAGGGCTGTCTTGTGGTCAGAGGGCTGTCTTGTGGTCAATGGGCTGTCTTGTGGTCAGTGGGCTGTCTCGTGGTCAGTGGGCTGTCTTGTGGTCAGTGGGCTGTCTTGTGGGCTGTCTTGTGGTCAGTGTGCTGTCTCGTGGTCAGTGGGCTGTCTTGTGGTCAGTGGGATGTCTCGTATCTCCCCCCCCCCCTGATGGAACTATGTAACGTGATACAACTCTCCATGGCTCTAGTAAATTGTTCTAGATCGCCTTTATTTACCCTGACCCAATGAGATGTTCAACAATCTTTTCATTTCATCACAAAATTTGAGTCATTGACATTTCCCTCATAAAAATGTTGGCGTCAGAAGGGGGTGGGGGTAGATTGGTGTATGATGAGCGGCAGTGTGGTTTATAAAACGGTTATATACGGCTATATTATATGGCATTTACGGTAGTATAACGTTATATGGGGTAGGCGATTGTCTAACGTTATATGGGGTAGACGGTTGCTTTTGATCATGTGTTTATAGTGGGAAAAAACATTTAACCACCCTTGTGATGCAGGTGACACAGACCAGACCGACACACTTAAATGCTAGACTACGAAACACAACCAAGACACACTTAAATGCTAGACTACGAAACACAACCAAGACACACTTAAATGCTAGACTACGAAACACAACCAAGACACACTTAAATGCTAGACTACGAAACACAACCAAGACACACTTAAATGCTAGACTACGAAACACAACCAAGACACACTTAAATGCTAGACTACGAAACACAACCAAGACACACTTAAATGCTAGACTACGACACACAACCAAGACACACTTAAATGCTAGACTACGACACACAACCAAGACACACTTAAGTGCTAGACTACGACACACAAGATGGACACACTAAAGTGCTAGACTACTACACACCGGACACACTTAAGTGCTAGACTACGACACACCGGACACACTTATGTGCTAAACTACGACACAAAACCAAGACACAAGTAAGTGCTAGACTACGACACACAACATGGACACACTGTCTCCAAATTTTTCGTCTCCTGGTTTGTACGGGTCGTCTTCCATTTGTATCCATTAGAAAACATTTCCCTTGCCACTTTCTCTGCCCTCTGCCCCGTCCCTCTGCCCTGGGCACCATGCCCCGGGCTGTATACTTTCATACGGTGCCGCCAATTTCCGCGTGCCGCCACTGTTGGCAGTCACGTGATGATCCTAACCAATCCGATTAGCACACGCGCATGCTCACTGCGCACACTCACTGATAGTCACGTGGGTGGGTGGGGGTGGGTGGGGGTTAGTGGGTGGGTGGGGGTGGGTGGGGGTTAGTGGGTGGGTGGGGTGGGAGATACGCCTCGGGCATCTCAGGAAAAGTTTTAAATCTGTAGTCACAAGTTTCAACTTAAATATGACTCGAGGTGTCAGTTATTAAATTGTGACTTAAGGTCCCAGGTTTCAAAATGTGACTTAAGGTCGCAGGTTTCAAAATGTGACTTAAGGTCGCAGGTTTCAAAATGTGACTTAAGGTCCCATGTTTCAAAATGGGACTTAAGGTCCCATGTTTCAAAATGTGACTTAAGGTCCCATGTTTCAAAATGTGACTTAAGGTCCCATGTTTCAAAATGTGACTTAAGGTCCCATGTTTCAAAATGTGACTTAAGGTCCCATGTTTCAAAATGTGAATTAAGGTCGCAGGTTTCAAAATGTGACTTAAGGTCCCAGGTTTAAAATGTGACTTGAGGTCCCATGTTTCAAAATGTGACTTAAGGTCCCATGTTTCAAAATGTGACTTAAGGTCCCAGGTTTCAAAATGTGACTAAATGTCCCATGTTTCAAAATGTGACTTAAGGTCCCGTGTTTCAAAATGTGACTTAAGGTCCCATGTTTCAAAATGTGACTTAAGGTCCCATGTTTGAAAATGTGACTTAAGGTCCCATGTTTCAAAATGTGAATTAAGGTCGCAGGTTTCAAAATGTGACTTAAGGTCCCAGGTTTAAAATGTGACTTAAGGTCCCATGTTTCAAAATGTGAATTAAGGTCGCAGGTTTCAAAATGTGACTTAAGGTCCCAGGTTTCAAAATGTGACTTAAGGTCGCAGGTTTTAAAATGTTATAGAGCTAACCCGATAGTCCCAAAGTCCCCTGCGTCCACTGAGTTCACTCAGCTTATATTGGTTCCTGGCAATTCCGTTATATACCAAGCCACCTGACCTTTTGGACATTAGTTTTAAAGTGACCACAAGGCCGTCTGGTCAGTGTGTGGCCAAATCTTGTACCTTAGTTCTGACACTCTGTTGAAAGGCTATTTTTTATGGTAGTTGATATCGACGACACTAGTCGAGATTAAATTAGTCATTAATTAGTTTAAGTGTACTAAATATAGTAACAAGCGGAGTTACTAGCTGGCCATCCGTCGGGTGAGCTGGTATTCGCGAATGTTCTTTCTATAAACCTTAGGGTTGAGGCAGATAACTAGCAGATAGAACTCTTTCAATACATCGCAGATATTTTTGTGTGTTGGGAGGGTGTGAGTGATCTTAATTTAAAACGATTAAAAATATATTAATAAGTGACTATAACAAATGTCGAAATTAATAGTAAATTAAAAAAAATATTTAAAACTTCATCATAAAAAAGCTTTTTAAAAATAAGAAATTCACGACTTCTTTGTAATCAGTAGGCCTGATAGTGGCTTAATAGTGGCCAAATAGTGGCAGTGTAAAACATTTATCGTTTATGATTTTGTTTTCAATACATTCAACGACATATTATTCTACAATTTTTAGAAAGAATATGTTTTTTTTTATTGCACAGCAGTTCTAAGCGTGTTATAATGACGTTTTTAAATATTTATTTTTTTATTTCTGTGACTGCCTTTACTAGCGGGATTTCGTCTGTTCGTGGTTCGAATCTTGCCGAGACAGACTCGTGAAATGGGTGAGGTATATGGTTAGGTGGTTAGGTGAGGTAAATGGTTAGGCTGGTTTAACAGACAAATGTGGGAGGGGTGAGTGGAGGTGGGGGAATAATGGCAGAAATGGGGCTAAAGGGTAAGGAACTTGTTAAAATAAGATGAGAGGGGGCGGGGATGGGAGGCTTGCTTGAAGATAGCGGAGGATGTGTGTGTGGGGGGGGGGGGGGGGGGAAATTGATGGTAGAGTTGAGACTAGCAGGGGTGGGGGAGTTAATGGTAGAGGGGGTGGAGGGAAGGGGACGAAGGGGAGGAAAAATGGAGTAAAATCTCGGGTAGCTGTTAATGTAATAGCGCATGCTGTTTTTCTCCACTTACACGATTTAATCAACCATAGTTAGACGGAGACTTCTCGCCTCATTCCCCGCCTACAACTAATTAATTACCTACTCAGGCAATCAATACATCGCCCACAGATAGATGATAGATCCTTATTGAACTCAAAGACAAGAATCACGTTTAAAAAAACCTTCAACCCGTCGCTCAAGACAGTTGTTAGCTGCTGTCGACGTCACCACGTTAATTACTGACCACCAGCTAATCCATTGAGAACATGACCGTTATGTGGCCCACATGAAAGCCAACGTCCGCCCTCTTTACACTAATCCCGTGCCCCCTGGCCACGCCCCCCTCATTATCCCCCATGTATTCATTCGTCCGTTAGCGCCCACCCCGCCATCTGTGGCAGAAAAAGTTTGTCGGGGGACAACTCGCTCCATTGTTGTTGCGTGTGTGTGTTTGTGTGTGCGTCCCCCCAGGAACTGAAAAAGGAACTTGAAACGCCAAGAGGGCGACGCCCGGCGGGGGGCTGATTGTGATGAGGGGGGCACGTCCGGGTGGCGAGACGAATTAAACGCGCCCCGGTCGTCAAGCCTTTTGGCTTTTCTACCAGTTTTTTTTTTCTAATTAATTCCTTAAACTTTTTTCTTCATTCTGGTAATGAGCATCTTCTATCATAGTTTGGTAGCTCATTAATGATCTACATAGGTAGGTCATTAATGATCTACATAGGTAGGTCATTAATGATCTACATAGGTAGGTCATTAATGATC